TTTTGAGACAGGGTCTCCCTGTAGCCCCAGCTGTCCTGGAACTCACTATGTAGACCACGTTGGCCTTGAACTCACAGAGATCCGCCTGCCTCTGCCTCCTGAGTGCTGGGATTAAAGGTGTGTGCCATCACACCCAGCTAAAATGTTTATTTTTTTTTATCAAAATTAATAAAGATTTGCCTTACAAGTTTGGAAGACTTGCAATTCATTATGGTGTTATTTGTTGTAGTTTACCTAGGATTTAGCTAAGCATTAGCAGAGGAGACTGTCAAGGACCTAGAATTAGGAGTTTTTCTAAGTTATAGTTCTCAAAGGAAACCAGAAATAGAAACATCACTCTTACTTCTGCAAACCTCACTTTTCCTCATTCCTACTAATTCTGGTTTACATGTAAGGCCACAGTATGCTATTGCATTCTTGGAAAAAGTGCCTGTGTGCCTGGGAGAGCACTCATCCCTTTGGTAAGGGTTTGTCTCTGTCGGTGGGACCCTGTGGGTCTCCAGGACACTGGCTCCCTTGGGCTTGTGATTCCAGAATCTGCTAGTTTGATTTCTAAGGGTTTCTTGGGGAAAACTATCCTGACTAAGACCTCTGCAAATGTTTCAAAAATCAAAATGAGTGTCTAATCCAAAGTGGTCTCTATTTGGTTTATTTTTGTGGTTATTACACTATAATTCCTACATAGGGCTTTGTAATTTCTTTAAAATGTTTATTTTAAAGAAACATTGGAAAATATGGAAATATGGAAAAAGACAAACACGGAGTGTGGGGATAGGAAATCTCTCATACTGAGGCGCTTCTGAGTGACCCACAAGATTACTTGCTGTGCCTGCCACAATGCATAGTAACTGTCACCTAGCTGAACACTGCCCAGCCACCAGCTTATGCTATAATTACTATAATGCCATGTAGAAAAAAACATATCTGCCATTGAACTTATGTCATGACTAATTTTATTTGGCTAAAAAAATGTATGCCAAGGAAAATGTTGGAAGGCAGAAAAGAAAACTTTGAAGAATATTAGTCTTAAAAAGATTTTGTTCTTAGGTGCTTGCTGATGGTGGAGGAAATACAGAATGGGTAAAATTAAAAAAAAACAAAAACAAAAAACAAAAAAAAAAACAGAAAAAAAGAAAGAAAAAAGATTTTGTTCTTTTATTTTCTCTATTTTTTTAATAAGCACATATTCCTTTTATCTTAAAAGTTTTAAATACAGACCTTGTTTATATTTAAATGACTACATGAGTATACTCTGTAAACTCCTAAACTATGCCAACTTTGAAGTACTATCTTCTCACCACATATTGTTTAAATCAATTAAAGTTGCTGTGGCATGAACTTACTTCCGATTAGTTTCCTTCCTTTCAATCAAACAGCTCCCTTCCAGGGAAATGCCAGCAAAGAGTCCTCGAGATTTGCAGTAGGTGAAGACAGCTGCAGAGCTCCTCAGTGCAACGTTTCCTTCCAGATTCCTGCAAACGATGGCAGGACCAAGATGACCGCTCATCGCCAGCACCTAGTCGCAAGGCCTGCCTTCCTTAGCCCCGACTCCCTTTGGCTAAGCTAGGTTTTAATGTAGCTTGGAGAGAGGGCAGCTATGGGAAAACATGCCACATGGAACGGCTGCAGAAAGGCTGCTGGCCGGGTGGGACTGCACTGGAGAGGGGGAAATGGGAGCTGGCCATCCCATCCAGGGAGATACATCGTGAGAGCTGAAGAGTGTGGAGTCTTCTTACACGGGGCATTTTCAGATGGTTTACTGTGTAACTTCCATAAAAAGGCAGTTTGTAATTTCTCTAGCATGTTCACTAACTGAAGAATAGTATTTCATTAATAGAGGAAAAAAAATAGTGTTTTGCACAGGGTTCAATTAAGATGAACCACTTCACATCCTCATGAGCTATTTCACATCCTAATTACTAGTCTGAAAAAAGCTTTTTTCATTCCAGAACAATGATGACCTTTATCAGTTAATAAAATCTGACCAGACTTAACTCCCTCAAAGTTTATTTCAAAATCTGACCAGACTTAACTCCCTCAAAGTTTAAAGAAAAACTTTATTTCTTCCTATGTGTCCTGGGCTCAGATTTTCTAGTTTATCCCACTGTGTGTGTGTGTGTGTGTGTGTGTGTGAATGTATGTAAATCTGTTATTTATGAGACCTTGGATTATCTGACAAGCACAGAAATCATGTTTGATCATTTAAAGTCAAATTTCTTTTGAATGCACACAACTCTGAATTTTTAGATCTTTATAGTTTATCTGTTCACTCACCTGCCCAAGGGCCCAACTGCTACAGTAAAATTCCCGCCAAGTGTCAGGTTTCCACCCTTTGCAAAGGCTTCTACTGCTCGATCATAATTCAAAATTATCACCAAATCTGATACCTGAAAGGTAAAACCCACTCATTTAAAACAGCTACATTGTAGGGAAAGGTGGTGCATGTCTTTGATCCCAGCATTTTGGGAGGCGGAAGCAGGTGAATCTCTGTGAGTTCCAGGCCAGCCAGGGCTACAGAGTGAGACCCCACAAAACAAAATAAAACAAAACAGTAACAAAAGACAGCTACATTTAAATATTGATTAAAACATGCTGACTTACACTTGGATACTTCTTCTATAATGTAAATTTTCATTGTAGCTAGCAAGCCAAGTATGAAAGAGGCGGCATTTGAGGGGATGGGGCAAGGAGCCAACATTGCACAAAATTTACGGCAAATACCTGTGGACCATCCAGAACACAGTGCAGTCTCCTTTACTCTGCAACAACAGGTTGTACAGCTGACAATGCTAAGTACCAATGGGGCTGCAAACTGTCACACTGATAACCGGATCAGATAAAAGAGGGAAGATATAGATTGGGACCACATGTCCTCCGATCATAAACTAAACTTCTCCAAAAGCTAGTATCATGGACTGTGGAGCTGGAATTGTTGGGCTTTAGGTCTGAGACATCTCCTACCCTAACTCCTTGAGAGTCAGTGTGCCCACCACCAGGATACTGCATACTGGGTATCTGACTGTGAGTCACCTATCAAATATCAGGCATTAATTGGTTTCCATTAGTAATGCCTATGACCTGACTTAATTTTTCTCTAAGAGCAAAACCTAGAATAAGATTCAATTGAATGCATGGGGCAAGTCAACATGGAGAGTTTCTTACATTCATCACGGCCATAAGGAAGCCCAAGGTTAGAGCAGAAAAAGAATATTACCCATGACATGTGAGGCAGCACAAGAAAAATCAGTCCTGACCCCAACTCCTCCACTTGGAAGATGTGACATCCTGGGTAACATAGTGATCTTGGCACACTGACATCACAGCACAAAGCCTACCTCACTGAACTCTCATGAGGATCAGATGTACACATCATCTGTACCTGTAAAATTAAAGGCATAATTGGCAGGTGCTAGGAAGCTGGGCTCAAATGGAATCTCTTTGTGAACACCGCCAATTCTTTTCAAATCTATGTGACCTTGAGGAAATGCTGCAGAATGAAAGCCTGTCTCTGCTGTAATGGTGGGCTGATCACAGCGCCACCTTCCATGCTGTCTGAGGAAAAGGAATCATTTGTGAAGCCAAACACTTAAACATGCAGGCCAAGCAGACTTAAAATAGGCCTTAACAATATAGTTCTTCAAAATTTGCTAAATGTTTTCTAATCAATGTTACATTTGATGTGCAGAAAAAATTTGTCATTGTCACATGAAATTACATGTGAATGGAGCAAAAGTCCCTGATATCAGTAGGTTCTTAATAATATAGAACTTTTTCCTTGATGCTTACTACTTTTTTAAAAGGTAAATTTCATTTTTAATCATGTATGTGTAAGTGTGTATGTGGGTGTGTGCACGTAAGTGTGGGTACCTCTGGAGGCCAGAAGCATTGGATCTTCTGGAGCTGGAGTTACAGGCAATTGTGGACTGCCTAACATGGGTGCTGTAAATTGAACTTGGGTCTCTGTAAGAACAGTAGAGGCTCTTAATTGTTGAGTCATATCTCTAGTCCCACTGGTCAACTACTATTTTTGTTTCATATATAGGCAATTTCTGAGGATTACAGTGTTGAATGGCAGGATGATTTAGTCTTTATTGTTGTTTGTTTAATACAGTTTCTCATTCTGTAGTCCAGGCTGGCCTTGAACTCACAATCCTCCTGCCTTGGTCTTCTGAGTGCTGGGATTACAGGTCTCTTCCACTATACCTGATTTAGTGTTCTTTGTGCAAAGTTAGCACTTTTTCCAGTTATTGTATAATCTTTGCCTCACAGGCATCTGGAGATAACAAAACAACTTTGCCTGTTTGGTTCATTCACACTCAGAAAATGCAGATTTCTTCCCATAACTGCTACACTAGTTATGTCCTGTTTGTACAGCTCAGAACAGCTAAACAAGCTGGAGTTCTGAGAGGCCACTTGGGGAAAAGTCCAATTTTCCATCTGGTCTGTACTTGGTTGCAAGCTAATCCTGCATTCTTTAGAGTTACTACCAGTGAGGCAGGGAATGGCCACAGTTCTGCAGCATCCAGGGGCCCATGAGCACTGGAAGCTCTAGGTTTATTTCCTGCTGCTGGCTGGACAGTGGCGCAATGGTGAGGTAGTATAAGATACCACTAGAGAATCTCATACAAGCCCAACTGATTTGCAGTAAAATTTAATTAACAAGGTGCAAGTTTTTGAATTAAATCTTTAAACATAAGAGCTAAAATCTGGGGAAGATGTTCTCAGGAGTCCTTTCTCTGGGCTGCTGGACTGAAGCCACCCGGGATCCATGTTACATCCCTGGGTCCCTAAAGAGGTCCGCCTATAACATCAAGTCTGGCTCCACTAGTGACACATGGCTGCAGGCAGCTGGTTATCAGGCCTACATCTGAGCAATGGCAAGGAGGCCTGGGTCACTCTCCTTTGGTTTCCTGAGAGATCTCCTCACCATACTACACAAAAGCCAGACTGTTACCCTTTCTCTATTCTCTTAACAACATCTTGGCTCTGGGAGCTGTTCAACTCCCCTGCTGGCCTTGTTACAGGTCAGAGCCCTCCCACACCCACCATGTGAGGCACAACCTGTCTCACCACACAAACCAAGTATGGGGATCATCTCCCAAAGCCTTCCAGTCCCAGCACAGCAGCTCTTCTCTGGGGACTCAGATGGCAATCTCCTCTGTAACAGTAAAGGCTCCCTCATACTCTCTGTAAAAGGTTGAGTTGTTTGGTGCTTTTTTGTTTATTTTCTGTCAAATTCCAATGAAAGCAAATCAATGGTCCAGTGTGAAAGTCATATCATTCTAGGATGGGCCAAGAGCATCATGGCTTTCAGTGTTTTGAACTTTGCTGTCCTTGTCTTATAAGAGAAATAGCAACTGTATTCAAAATGATTCTGGCATTATTTCCTTAAGCCACTGACTTTCAAAACTTCACTTCTCAAAACAGTACCTCTTTACCAGTCTCTCTCTCCTATGAAAACAACATTCTCCTCCAATACTGACCTAATGACTCTTATTCCCGACATTAATGTAGATAGTACATGCTATGTCCAAAGAATGCCAAATCACCACTGCTTTCCCCCTGCCCCACAGGACTTTTAGTCTGAGCACCAACATCAGTATACATGAACTGTGCCTTTGGTTTAGGCTTGGCTTGGAGTCATTGATACTCATGGTCTCAGTGCATAAGTCCACACTGCAGAGGTGTGACCTGCATGAGGCAACAAGCCATCAAAAGCAACAATGGACCCCAACTTGCTGGAGCAGCACCCTGTACACAATTTGTTTTTGTAAATTCTAAAAACTGACAGACTAGGTACAAAGAATACAAAATTGAGATTGTATGTTCTCACCAGAGTTCTATAAAGCGCGCACAAGTCAGACTGCTGTCCACACAATGCTGTAGGTGACACAGCATCAATGGGCTGGTAGCTCTCTGAGAACCATAAGCTAAACTACAGGTGACTAATAAAGCTATGTCCAGGAAGATCCCTCTGTAGAACTGTGGGCCAAACTCTTCATAAAATTGTGCCCAATGGCATTAAGAGGCAATCAGCAGGCTAACACCACCTGTAACATCAACAGTCAGACAGCTGATGGGTAATATTGAGGAGAAAGGGCCCAGCTAACCCTGTGCTTGCGGCATCACCCCCTGGCGTCTGTAGGGATAGGAGTCACAGAAGCAGCCTGAGCAGATCACTCAGCAGGCGAGCTAGCAGCAAGCACCTTTCCTCTCTGCACACGGTCACTGCACATGGTCATGGCCCACAGTTCTGCTCTAGGATAATGGGGATGTACCTGTGCATTTACACGAAACAGGACAGTTGCAGTGTCAATAGGTGACATAATCTTTTTTTAATTTGGTCTTTTTGAGACAGGGTCTCCCTGTAGCCCAGGCTGGCCTCGAACTCGTAGAGATCCGCCATATCCAGTGCTTCTTTCTTGTTTATTATTATTATTTGTTGTTTGTTTGTTTTTGGTCTTCTTAGGTGATATAATCTTATAGTACCATCATACATGTTGGTAACTAAAGTGTCATAAATATCAAGAGACAGTATGACCCGAAATATCTGATTTTGGAGGTTGGAGAGATGACTCAGTGGGTAAAGTACTTACATGGGACCTGGGTTCAGATCCCCCAAAACCGTAGAAGAGTCAGATATGGCAGTACATGCCTATAGCCTATAACTCCAGCACTGGGGGCAGAGATAGAAGGCTTCCAGGGGTCCACTGGTCAGCCAGTCTAGCTAAATCAGGGAGCTCAGGTTTGGTGAAGAGTCTCTGTCTCAAAAAAGTAACAGAGAGTGACAGAGGAAGATACCCGACATTAACTTCCAGGCTCTGCATGCATGCATAGATGAGCACCCCCCCCAATACACAAATAAAATATTTTCAAATATTTAACAGAGACAATTTTTGACAAAAAATTATGAGACAAGCAAAGAAGGAGAATGTTACCACTACACTACACAGGGGAAAAAAAAAAAAAAAATCAGATGGTCCAGACTTCAAGTTTAGCAGACAGAAAATATACAAAGTAGTTTCAAAGCTCCTCAGAGCAAATGGTTGGAAAATAAAAGCTTTGTGTCAAGAATGCTCATTAGACAGAAAACTATCAGTATTCTAATAAGGAGTAAAAAAAAAAATTCAAAGGGCAAAGGAAATTCTTGAGTTAAAAAAAAGTATATTAACCAACTTGAAAATTTGCTAGTGGGGTTCAGTAGCAGAAAAGCAAAGACCCCTCATATGAAAAGGTAGATCAACAGAGACATGAACACTAAAAACCACAAGAAGACTACTGAGGAGAGATGAGCAGAAGGCGAGGAGCCCAAGCCACACCAGACCGGGGAGGAAAGTGGAGAAAAAGCTTCCCATGAAGCAAGGATAGAAAACTTCCCAATCTGATGAAAATGTCTAATCTGCACTCAAGAAATGCACCAAGCACTGACCATTTGCAGAGTGTGAAGATGTCCCAGACACAAAACTGCAGAACGTGGACCTGCAGAGGAAACCCCAAAGGCAGCGAGAGGAAAGCCTCCCACCCCGTAGAAGGAGCCACTGTAAGATCAAGGGTGAATTCATTTCCCACCAGGAGGTTGCAAGAGGGCAAATCAAAATGCAGAAGGGAAGCCTGTGTACCTAGAACATTCCACTCAGCAAAATCTCCTGAAAATGAAGGTGAAATAAATATGTTTCTTCCCAGATCGAAAGGAAAAAATAATCTGTGGGAATTTGTTGCTTGTGGACCCACCACTTTGTTTTCCCTGTATTTCTGAAGAAACTGGGAAACAGAATTTGTAAAAAGGAAACTGGATTTATTTTCTTTTGGTCAAATCAGTGGAAAAACAAAAACAAAAACAGAAAACAAACAAAAGAATCCCCCCCCCCACCAAATTCCTAGTTTCTCTCTGCCTTTCCTGTATCAATGTTCTAATTTTATAGAAAAGACAAAACAAAAGTCAGGCAAGGCATATGCTGATTAAATTATAATGTAAGTTTCAGCTTTATAAACCTCTTCCTGGGCGATGAGTCCCCTTCCCGCCTTGGGAACAGGGCTTTAGCCTTTCCTTTCCCCAGCATGGGCTACCTTGGGAACTTTGAATTATTTAGGGTTCATCTTTTAAGGCCTTTGTTTCAGACCCATTTTGAAAGAAGCACTAAAAATGCTGAAGGCAGTACTCCATGTTGAAATCAGTAACTCTGGATAGTAATTAAAAACCATATTAAAAAAACCCACAGGATAATTATGAGCCATAAATGACAGTATAAACACATACTTCTTTCTCCTCCTAACTGATAAAAAAAATGAACCCTTTGAAATATTTGTGTAATTTTGTTGCTAGGCCCATAATGAAAATACTTAATAGGTTTGATAATAACAGGACAAAGGAGAAAGGTGGGAGCAGGAATCGCCACCAAGTCAGAAGCTTGAATTGAAGGTCAACTGGACAGAACTGGGAAGAGGAAATGAGAAAACATGCGACAGGCTCAACTTTAAATATTTACTCTCAATTCTTCATGAAGTTTCTATAGGAGAAACCATAATTACTAAGCAGAATAACATGTAGATATAACATAAAGGCAACTGCACAAAAAGGAGAAATGGGAGCACAACTACACAGGGGCAACACTTTTGTGTCTACCAAATCAAGTTAGTATAAATTTAAAACAAATTTTTATTTTTATTTTATGTGTATGAGTATATTGCCTGCATGTATGTAAGTACATCTGTGTTTTGCAATGCCCACAGAGGTCAGAAAAGGATGTTGGATTACCTGGAGTTATGGACGGTTGTTAGCCACCACGTGGGTGCTGGGAACTGAACCTGGGTCCTCTGCAAGAGTAGACGGTGCTCTTGACCGCTGAGCCATCTCTCCAGCCCCAAGTTAGTATAAATTTTATAGTCTTTCTTTCAAATTAAGATGTATGTTCTAGAGCAACCATTAAAAATGACTAAAAACAATGAAACTATTTCTGCCTTATAAAATATTTCCTTTATTTAAAAGTTGTAACATAGAAAGAAAAGGACAAAAAAAGACACTGCATATACAGAAAAGGTAACATGTCAAACATATACCCAACTATAGCAATAAGACCTTACATGTGCATGCATTAAACAACCCAATCAAAAGGCAGATTATCCAACTGGATTTCAACAAGAAACAAACAACAAAACCAACCATATGCTGTCTGTAGGAGACAGACTTTGCATTTAAAGAAAGGAAAAGACTCCAAATGCAAGGTCAGAACAGTTCTACCACCAGCAGCAATAGGAACACTGGAGGTTCTATCTTTGTTATAGATGAAGAAACCAGGTTACAGAGGGGAAACATGGCCTCTAACATCACAGTGGGAATATGCTCTGGCCCGAATGTGAGGCAGTATAACCTCAGAGGACTGAGGTGTAGCTCTTGTCTTTTGAAAACAATAAAGTGCAGTATTTTATGAAATGTTTATTTAAAGCCCATTTCATTTATATTTCTTTTCAAGGCTATTAATGGCAACCCCCCTTGATTTCCAAAGAATCATTTTAAAATTCTCCCTCTGGGTCTTTAGTCTTTTGAAATGGAAGCTACTCATTACTAATCTCTCATGGGCTCCTTGGCTCACATGGGGTCCAGGCTATGGAAAGAGGGGTGGAGTCTATAGAAAGAGGGGTGGGGAATTTTGAAAAAAAGAATTGGGGAGTTGTAGATAGAAAGAGTAGGGAGTTGTATAAAGAGGGCAGGGGTTGTGAAAAGAAAAGGCAGGCAGCATAGAAAAGGGGAATAGGGGCTAAAGAGAGAGTGTATGGTTGTAGAAAGAGGGGTGAAGGTAGAAAAAGGGGGTATGAAATGGATCTGGGAAACTATATCTATAAGAAACTACAGGTGAAGGCAGTGGAAGCCACCGCTGTTGGGAGTATCACTTCCACTGAGTTCTTGAAGTAGATTCCACTGTATACAGTATAGATGAAATCCTGAGAAGCAGAACTGAGCAATGTTCTGTGTTTTTGCTATCTTACCTGTATGCAACAGTAAGTAGAGAACATGAAAGAAAGGAAGAAAGAAAGAAAGAAAAAGAAAGAAAGAAAGAAAGAAAGAAAGAGATCACAGAAAGGGAGGAGACCAGAGCAGAGGAGTGGAGGGAAGAAGAGGGAACAAGTTCCATCAATGTGGGAGGTAAGATAAGAGCAGTAGGACCTCTGTTATACCATGCCGAGTACTGGGTGCCAACTTACCTCTATTCCGATTTCAAATCCTCCACCAAGCCCAGCTATCCCAATGGCTGAAGGTGCAGACCATTCTGATAAAAACAAAAACATTGCAACACTTAAAGTCTTTGCCATATGAATATGAAGAAAAATACTTTTTAAATTTTATTATTTTTATTTTATGTGTTTGAGTGTATTGCCTGCATGTATATGAGTGCACCTGTGTCGTGCAATGCCATGGAAGTCAGAGAAGTCTTCAGATTCCCCTGGAACTGGAGTTAAGGACAGTTCATAGCCGTGATGTGGGTGCTGGGAATAGAACCCAGGTCCTCTGCAAGAGCAGTCAGTGCTCTTAACCGCTGAGCCATCTCTCCAGCCCCGAGAAATATTTTTAATTAATTAAATTTTTATTTCATGTGTATGAGTGCTATGCCTGCTTATATGCAAGTGCATCCGTGTCATGCAATGCCTAAGTGCAGCAGAAGCCAGAAGAGGGGTGTCAGATCCCCTGGAATGGAGTTAGAGATGGCTGTTAGCTACCATGCTGGGAATCGAACCCAGATCTTCTTGCAAGAGTAGCCAGTGCTCTTAGTCGCTGAGCTATCCTCCAATGATCAATATTTTAAAAACTTAGTTACTAAGTCTTTGGTCACAATTTTATCATAGACTCAAGAGATTAGGAGGATTCAAGAGCTTGTCACAGTTACTCTCAGGGGTAACATAATACTAAGTTGCCACAATTGTAAACTGGTTGGCCCTCCTTATGCAAAGGGATTTCTTTATATTTGTAAACTAAGCACAATAATTCAATTTGCTTGGAGTTTTAGGATTGATGTGCACTTATTTTTTTCTGACATAGAAACAAATCTAGAAAATATATTTTAACTTGGTATATGTATTTTGGGGCATTTAAATGATATGTCTCCTATGTTGACCTTACTTTGTATCTAGAACTAACCTGACAAGCTTGGTGGAGTTTTGATTACAGGAAACAGTGTCTGGTAATTGCAAAACTGCTTTTCATTTCCTGTTGTAGGAAATGCCTGGCTTATAGGCCTCTCCTCTGGGATCAGGAACTTGCCTTGTCTTATTTGGATAGCCTGTCAGTTAGCCTCTGCAGGTACACAGCTGCTGTTCTGGAGGTTTTGAAACCAGTAGAAAGATCCATTGGGATTGATGGCAGGGATGGAGGCTGGGGGAGACAGACCCTTGCTTTTCAGCAATAAGTGTCTCTCAATGGATAGCAGGACTGGGCTGCTGGGCCTTCCTGCAGAGATGGTCCCCCTCTAACAGGGATTGTGCCTCTGTGTGTTTGGTGTCACTGCTGAGACTTCTGTCCATGAGCATTTGGGCAACGTCTGATAAGAAGAGAGTCATATTCTTCTATGTTTAAAGATTTGGCATTTTTATTATTTAAAATTTGTGACCATTTTAAAAAAATTAAATGAGGTGATCTGATCTACCTATTTTTTTGAACTTTCTAGTGAAGGGATTACAGATGGGAAGTCACTGGTGGAGATGCCATTGGAGTTTCCCTGTACCCCAATACTAAAAGCAATCTTGAACTATGAAACGTAGAGCCATGGCTGTGGGAAGAGAACCCTGCTGACTTTGGGGACACCCCGGCAGGAAACAATGACTCCAACACAGGGATAAAGGACATGTTTACCAAAACCTGCTTTTATTGTCTAAAAGGATAAATAAATGATTTATGTTAAAACAACTACCAGCAGAATAATGTGTTCCTTATATGAGAAAAAACACAGGTCAAACTGAATCAAAGGCACTCCAACTGGTTCTGACAGGCATCTAAGTTCTATTTATTATTTTTATTTTTTGTGTATGTGTGTATTGCCTGCATGTAGGTAAGGGCACCTGTGTCATGCAATGCCTGTGGAGGTCAGAAGAGACTGTCAGATCCCCTGGGACCGGAGTTACGGACAGTTGTTAGCTGCCATGTGGGTGCTGGGATTCAAACCCGGGTCTTCTGCAAGAACAACCAGTGTTCTTAACCACTGAGCCATCTCTCCAGCCCTGGCATCTAGGTTTTAAATACTACTATAAGCACTGGTTCTTGGGATTTGTAGCAAGTGCATTTTCAATTCATCCCTGGAAAATCAAGTAACAGATTGTTCTATGCATGAATCTGCTGTGTCCAGAAAGACACAGTATACTGTTCTATCTGTTCTATACATGAACCTGTTGGAATGAGAGGGCAAGTCTTCATGTGCTGCAATCTTCCAGAGAAACAAAGAAGTTTTCAGGTGGCCCCTGTCACAGTTAGTTCCAGTTATCAGCTTGAAATACCTGGGAAGAGGAAACCTCAACTGACAAATGTCCTCTACGCGATTGGCCTGTGGCCATGTCTGTGAGATATTTTCTTAACTGCAAATTGATATAGGAGGACCCAGCCCACTGTGGAGTTGCTGACTGAGTTCCCACTTTGGTGTCCTTAGATGATGGACTGTAACTCTTTCTTCCCCAAGTTGCTTTTGGCCATGGTGTTTATCACAGCAACAGGAAAGCAAACTAGGACAGTCCCTCTTCACATTGACTTTCACAAACAGAAGATGGCTGTCCCCAAAGCTGAGAAGTGAAAGCTCACATTTCACAAGAGAACCATGTGCACTATCACTAATGAGTCCCAGATGTCAGACATTGAGGGGCAAGATTTTGGAGCAATGCTGCTGGACTTTGATTTTGCTTAAGTGTGATTATTATTATTATTATTATTATTTTATTATTTTGGTCTTTTTGAGACGGGGTCTCCCTGTAGCCCCAGCTGTCCTGGAACTCACTATGTAGACCAGGCTGGCCTTGAACTCACAAAGATCCGCCTGCCTCTGCCTCCCAAGTGCTGGAATTACAGGCGTGCGCCACCACCCTCGGCCAAGTGTGATTATTTTTATTACTTTGTTCTTCCCTCTTGGAGTAAGAAGGTATTTATCTTGTTTTTGATTTTACAGGAAGCCATAGGTAAGAGAATTTGGATTGTAAAAAAAACTTTGGACTTTTAAAAGTGTTGGAATTTTCAAAGACTATGGGATTTTAAAAGTTGGATTGTGTTTTATATTGTGCTATTGTTAATAAGAAAATTTGGAGGCAAAGAAAAGAAAGGTTTTGGTTTAACAGTGATTTGTTTGTGTGTCAAGCTGACAAGGGGAAAAATGTCTTGGTTAGTTTTATTATCAACTTGACACACTGGGAAGAGGGAGCCTCAATTAAATAATTGCCTGGATTGGATTGACCTCTGGGCATGTCTATGGGGCATTTTATTTTTATTTAAATTTTTTAAAATTTATTTTTTTATGTGTATGAATGTTATGCCTGCATGTATGTAAGTGCACCCATATCATGCAGTGACCACAGAGGACAGAATTGAATTCCCTGGAACTAGAGTTACAGGTGGTTGTTAGCTACTATGTGGGTGCTGGAATTCAAACTTGAGTTTCTCTAACTTGAGAATCACTTTCTTGATTGATGATTGATATAGGATAAATTGATATAGGAATCCACTGTGAGGGGCACATACCTGGGCGGTATAAGAAAGCTAGCTGATCAAGCTAGGGGAAGCAAGCCAGTGAGCAGAGTTCCTCCATGGTCTCTGCTCTAGCTCTTGCCTCAAGTTCTTGGCTTCTATTGAAGATGGACTGTGAGCTGCAACCCAATAAACTCCTTTGTCCCCTAGTTGTTTTTGGTCATGGTGTTTATCACAGAAATGGGAAAACAAATGAGGACAGCCCCTTTTCACACTGACTTCTGCAAAGAAGAAAATGGCTGTCCCACAAGACTGAGGAGTAACAGCTTACATTTCACAAGAGAACTATGCGCACTATCATGTGCTTCTAGTAAGCGTTCCATGGATGGCATACAAAATATAATGCAGCATGGTAGATATACCTTGAATCCCATCTAGTGACTCAAGGCTGGCTCTCCTGCTTGCTCTCTGACACACACTGTGTCTGGAGGAGCTGTCTGGAGGAGCAGCCCATACGGCAGATTCACCCATCACATTCCCCATGAGAATATCCAAGACAGATGAAAACCAGAGGACTTAAGGTTTCTGCAAGCGTCAACTTACTTCCATCTGGAAGACGTGCCAGGACAATTCCACTGCCTCCCCTGGCTGTCACCAGAAACCCAGCTTTAATCACAGACAAAACTGCGAGGCCTTTTGCCTTTGCAATCACATGGGCTGCAAAGAAAGAAGCAATGACTGAAAGTTTGTGGCAGAACAGATTCTAGAGATACATAGCTGAACCTACCTGTTATTAACATGAAAGCTTGGACTTGACAACAAAAGTGACTTTTGCCACTTCAAAAGTTTTTAAACTCATGAACTACTGTACTGAAGAACTACCCTTTATACTGAAAACTGAATTCAATTCACAAAATAATGGTTTATTCATGGAGTTCATCACATAAAATGAGGTTTTTATAAGTGTATATATCCACTAAAGGTAGAGTCTCACCACTCTGTATTTTGTTTATACAATAGCATATTTTTCAAACTAGAAACCTAAAGACATCCTTAGAAAGCAGTTTGAGGCCAGGCACTGTGGTGTACACCTTTAATCCCAGAACACAGGAAGCTGACCAGATGTGAGTTGCAGGCTAGTCAGGGCTACATAGTGAGACTCTGTCTAAGAAAAATAAAAATAAAGAATTTAAACTGTCAGGAAAGTATTACCAGACATTATAGTTGGAAACATAGAAAAAGGTTTATAGATGCTCTAGAAATATGAAATTTCTAATTTCAACCTTTAAATTAGTAACAGACACATGAAAATAATACCAGAACATGGCAAAGTCAGTACAGAGATAAGTTGGGGAACCTTCTCCAACAAGAGGTATAGGAAAAGGGGCCTTCCTGAGTACTAGGCACTGAGGACACTATTCTCTTTTTTTCCCTTTTTATAATTGAATTTTTGCAAATTTTGTACACTATATTTTGATCATATTTAGATTCCCTCCCCTATATCTGCAATCCCCCTTACTAACTTCCCACCAAATTTCCTGTACTCTAATATAGAAATATACTAAGTCCATGGGGCTGGAGAGAGAGATGGCTCAGTGGTTAAGAGCACTGGCTGCTCTAGCAGAGGACCTGGGTTTGATTCCCAGCACCCACATGGCGGCTATGAACCATCCTTAACTCCAGTTCCAGGGGAATCCGACACCCTCTTCTGACCTCCACGGCATTGCATGACACGGGTGCACTCTCATACATCCAGGTAATACACTCATACACATAAAATAAAAACGATAAATAAAAAAAAAGAAATATACTAAGTCCTAAAGAGTCAGGTTTGTGATGACACTTTACTTTTAAAGATCATTTTTATTTTGTATATGTATGAGTGCATGAACATATGTGCACCACATGTGTGCAGTGCCCATGGAGGCCAGAAGAGGGCATTGGATCCCCCTAGAACCAGAGTCATAGTTGGTTGCAAGCACCATATGGGTGCTAGGAATCAAACTCACACTCGTCTGCAAGAACAACAAGTACTCTTAACCACTGAGCCATCTCTCCAGCCTGGCACTTTACTTTTGCATTTTAAGAGTCTGTGAATAGAGTGAAGGTTATAACTCATCTCATGTACAGTACAATATGTTTATTTTACAGCCATACGTTGGCAGCGTGCCCTCTATACCTCATGCTCTGGTCTCAATGCTTCTAAAGTTACTAATGCCTCAACTGCAAAACAGTAAGTATAATGGCATGCTTTTGAAAATGAACACACTCTGCATGCCAACTTTAAAAATAGACCATCTACTCAGACTCAGAGAAAATGAAGCATAGTACAGTAAGCCCGAAATAATTTTTGCCAACTACCTTTTGATTTACAACATAGATTCAGAGGATGCAGATCTACTTTCTAAATTAAGTTTCTCTTATATGTCAGCCCTGGACATTAGAGAGTGACAAACATAGCACGGGGTTTAGGAAGTGTTGTTTACCCCAAGTTCAGCATAGGACACTGGTACAGACAGCTGCTTTTCACCTCTGCTGCAGAGAAGGCTGCTACTGGGAGTTCAGGTTCTCTGTTTCAATTTTCTTTAAGTTCAAAAACAGTGCTTCTGAAATGTATATGTGCCTGCGGTTCACTGAGACCTTGTGGGACATGCGTACTCATGAGGTCTGAGCAGATTCCTCCAAGTTTTTGAGGAACATGTTAAAAACTAGTACTTCTGGCTTACTGCTCTGAGTGTGATTCAGCATGATGGAGTGGGATTCAGGGCCTGTGTTTTCATGACCAAGGGGATACTGATGCAAAGCTATGTTGGGAATAGATGCCATAGTTTTCTTAAAATACCACAGAGCCTGAGTATCTTATGTAGAAGGAATAAAAATCACAAGATTAAAATATATCTGTGAGCACTCATGTTGGACTGTCATGATATGAATAAACTTGCTTCATGAAGGATAGTATTGTATATTTACTCTGTTATCGTTTCAAGGCAAGATTTAAGTTTGATGAGCTACATTGCAGTGTGTGAACACAGGAATTAAAGGTGTTGTGCCAGTGCTTATTAGGTGTCATTTGGGCATAAAATAGCAGTGCCAGTTAGAAGAATTGGAAGCCAGTTCTGGAATTCATCAGAGTTATGGTACCAAAACCTCTTTGGTCCCTTTCACCTACATAAAACAGGGATTTTTCTGTTATTAGTAAATACAATTTCCTCTAATTTGTGAGAGAAATCTTAAAGTGCTTTAAAACATTTACATCATAATGAATAATCTGTGAGATTACTAGTGAGTTTCCAAGGTCTGCTTGCAAATTCCTCCAGAGGTGATGAAAAGAACATGAGAGCCTGAGGATAGCTCAGTGGAGCAGGAACCCAAGGGTTTAGGGTCCACTACTTCTAAGTGGAAGTGGAGGGAGGCAGAGCAAGGGAAGATTCCTCCATTGATTGGCTCTGCAGCTCTGCCTGAGAAAAGCTTCATCTCTGAGTTCCCAGAATAGGGTGGTCTAAACATTTCCTGGCATTTGTGGGGCACACAAAGAGAAGTGCTACGAAATGCAGAAAGCAGTGTGGAAAACAAGCAGGTTTAGAAATTCACCTACCAGGAATGATCTTATCAGGTCCATTTCTGGAAGTAATTTCTGTGAATTCTCTTAATATTTTGGCTGCCTTCTTTGCTTCTGACTTCAGATTGGAAGGTATAGGGTTATTCACTGAAAGATTGAAAAAATACTGCAGTGAAAAAAACTAAGTCCAGAATTTATTGCAGTTTCATTTTTCTCACACATTTAGAAGTCAAATGTTACCAACAAGAATGACTTCTAGCCTCCATTCACTGACTACTTGCTTAGGTTGTGTAGTGAAAAGACCTCCAAAGAAAAGTGACCTGTTTCTTTCTTCGCTAAGAGCTAGAAATAACCCTGAGTATGCCAGTACACTTGTCCTTGCCTGAGGCCAGAGATGCCAGAAGTATCTAAGCCAAGAATGTCTGGTTCTGCCATAGCCAAAGGCTGGGGATGACAGGAAGGAAGTCTTCTTCTTCTTTTTTTTTTTTTCCTTATTATCTTTTCCCTAAAGTACTACCTGTTCCCTGGAACCATATTGAAGACACAATTGGAACCTCGAGGGCCCTGGACACCTGGAACAGGAACTGGACTGACCAGTTCATCTTTCTCTCCTCTCCTTCATTCACTAAAGTCTTATTAATCAAGAGTGATGGGGTTCAGTGGAATCTTACTCCCGGGGCGCCCTCTTGCCGTATAGGGGCTCTGCTGTCTCTCTCCTAAGTTCCTGCTAAAAAAAAAAATACTGTTTTCTAAAATTCATTCTCTATGGTCCATGAATTTCATTCTTCAAATTTGTGAGACAAGAACCTGAAAGCCTCTGTCCTAAGGTGGCTTTGGTGGCCACTAAGTTTTCAGAACCTTAGTCTCTCGAGCTAAGCATAAGAGCCAAGAAAGTCTCTGTTGCTCTCAAAGACACCTCAGTATCCCCTTATCATTTCATCTCTTTTCCCTAAGTTGTGAAATTTCTCAGACAGCAAACCCCAAACCCTTCAAAAGTCTCATTAGTTAAGAAATCATGGGATTCTGGGATTTTAGGCAAAAGATGGCTGGCCCTGTCTCCTTACAAAGTATCTTTTGACCATAATTTAATCACCTTAGTGCTAATAAAAAGATTGAATTTGAGGGGGTGAAGAGATGGCTCAGTGGTTAAGAGCAGTGGCTACTCTTGAAGAGAACTCGGGTTCAGTTCCTAGTACCCACATGGCAGTTAACAGTCTTCCACAACTCTAGTTCTAGGGGATCCAAAGCCCTTTTCTGATTTCTGTGGGCATTGCATGACATGGGTACACAGATATACGTGAAGGTAATACACTCATACATACAAGATAAAAATAATAAATAAAAATATTAAAAAAGATTAAATTTGAGAATTAACAAAAGATAGTTTGCAACTGTCTATAATAGATCTAAAATTTGATACAGTTGGCTATTCTCACCAGAAGAGTCAACTGAAATGTTTGAACTGGCTGCCTACTGACTTTCCTACAAGTAAAATTCTGGCATGCCCAGGAATTGAATGGGTATTCCCAGAGTGCATGCCTGCTCCTGTACAGCATTTACAATCCTAGTGTAAAATTTGCTTCTTTGTCGTCACAGAATGCATGCAGCCCTTGAGCTCCTCAATATGTTGGGGAAGGTAGACCATGCTCTTGTCCCCGAATAAGCAAACAGAATAACCAAAAATGTCTAGAAGGCCAGGTGAGTCTAGTGGTTGAGGACTGATTGCTTGTGGTCACTAGGTGCTCAAGTGGAAAATGTTGATGACATCTGTGCCATCATCTCACCTGGTGGTTTGCAGAACAGCAGGTGGAAGTACACTAAAGACACCTGCATTAGACAGAAGGAATGACTGAGCAGCATAGAAAAAGAGCCTTTTATTCAGTACAGATCCTTCCGATAAAATACTGATGTACTGTTAGCTGGTGTGCTTGAAATACATAATTTATTTTAAAAGTAGAAACTGAAATAAGACCCTGACAGGGTCTTGCTTTGTTTTCTTAAGATATCAATTTGGTTCTTCGTGGCCCAACACAAGAGCATTAGCAAGACTGAAACCATAGAAAAGTCTGTCCCACAAACCGTCAATGGTACTTTTGAGCAGAGGGGTATATTTCTAGGTTATGCAAGCAAAATTAAATGCATATGAAGTGAAAAGTATGAATTTTCAAACAGCATTAGTATATGTGGGCATTCTGCATTTTTTTTACTCAATTTCATTTCAGAATTGTTAAATACTGACTCTCAGTGTATATAGGCTTTGCGACAGTCACAGAATGAAATTTACCTTCATGCAGGTGATGCTTGTAACACAGTCCCACCTCTTTTAAACACTTCAGTAGGCCCTTTGCAGTCAGCCCAGCAGTACCCATCTGATTTGTTACTCTATATTATTTTTTTCCGTGTCAGAATTTCATGTGAGAAGCATTTACCCTTTACAGGCTACCTTATTTCACACACATTAAGTTCATGGGAGTAAGATCAGAAGTCCACTGTTTAAAGTCCCCTTTTTTTTTTTTTTTTTTTTTTTTTTTTTCCTGCCTGGCTATATTCTCATGTGTGGGAATATCACAATTTATTCTTCCTTTTTTTTCTCCTCAAACTAGGTTGCTTCCAGTTTGAGGCTGTTCCAAACAAAACCGTAAATATTCCCATGATAGTCTTCTGTGCATAACTGTTTTGTTTCTTTTGGATATATATCAAGGATAAGAATTGCTAGCTTATAATAGTAAATGCTTGTTTAATTATAGAGCTATCTGAAGTGATTGCTATTTTATACTTCCACCAGAAATTCGAGAGGTCTAGCTACTTCAGCTCCTCACTAAGTGCACGGAATAGACAATCCTTTAAATGTCATTTGAGTGGCATTTCAATGTGGTTTTCCCAAATGCCTAGCAATATTGAAAACTTTTTTATCCTCATTTCTATTTTTTTTTACAATACATATTTTAACTGAATTTTTTTGCATTTCATATAATAGATCTTAATCATAGTTAGACCCCCACCAACTGCACCCTCTACATAGCACCCCCTACCAGATTTTATGCATTCTGTCACATATGTTAAGGCTTATCGTGCCAAGTTTGTGTCCTTGATGTCCCTTGGTGTGAGTTCATCCACTGGAGCCTGGTCAGCCTACTGCCAGCAAAGCTTTGGATGATTGACACAGAAAGCCACACTGGACAATGTAGAGGACACAAGACACAAAGTGCATGTCCCTGGATAGGACTTTTATATTATACCTCTACCACCTCAGGGACCATTGTGGAAGAGGGGTGAAAAGACTGTAAGAGCCAGGGGTGGTGGATGGCCTCATTTCTATTTCTTATGCAGTTTGTTCAAATCTTTTGTCCATTTAAAAATGTTCATTGTTTCATTGTTTATATAAAATATATTTACATACCATGGATATCTCTCGTGTATATAAATATGTATTTGTAGATATACACACACATACAAATTTTTAATATTTTTCCAAGTCTGTGGTTCATCTGGTCATTTTCTCAATGGTGTCTTTTCAATTAGAGGCATTATTTCTCAAAATATATTTAAGCTGGGCATGGTGGTGTACGCCTTTAGTCCCAGCACCTGGGAGGCAGAGGCAGGTGGATCTCTATGAGTTCAAGGCCAGCCTGGTCTACATAGCAAGGTCCAAGCTAGCTGTGGCTACAGGGAGACCCTGTCTCAAAAAGACAAAAACCAACCAACCAAACAACAAAAACCCAAACAACAACAAAAAAATTAATCAAAGTAAAAAGTATCACCTATGAACTTACTAGCAGAGATAGGGAACACATAGCTGAATCAAAACCAGATCAGAAAAATCAGACCCCTGAACTTAGACCAATAAAAGGTGTAACAACCATACCTGGGTAACATAAAAACAGGGCACCTAATACCATGTGTGATGGAGCAGAACCATCTACTTATCATCTGGCCTTCTGGTGAATGTGTCGCAGGATCGACAGGCCCAAATCTCCTTACTATCCTCAGGGTTTCAGCTCAGCATAACCACATATATGGGGATTCTAATCAGGCTTCCTTGTGAGCAGCTTCCCACTTGGGCCGGTCATCTGGATCCTGCACCTTGAGGACTTGCCTTGAACTGATTCCTGCCTTGAGCCTGCTAGGCTCTGTGCATTTCTAGCAGCTCTTCAGCTGGACTGGTTAATGTACTGGTTATTTTTAACTATCAACTTGAAACAACCTAGAATCACTTGGGAAGAGAGTCTTGATGAAGAATTAATCTAGATCAGGTTGGCCTGTGGGCATGTCTGTGGGGGACTGTCTGATGAAGCAAGTCCCAGCCTATTATGGGTGGCAGCATTCCCTAGGCAGGGACTCTTAAAATAGTGTGAGAGAGGAGAAACTAGCTAACAGCAAGCAAGGTTGTATGCGTTTGTTTCTCTCTGCTCTTGATTGCAGATATGATGTGACCAGCTGCTTCAAGCTCCTGCCACTGTGACTTTGTTACAATGGATTATAACTTGGAAACATGAACTAAAATATACCCTTTTCACCCCCAAGTTGCTTTTTTGTCAGAGTATTTTATCACAGCATAGAAATGAAACTGGAAAAGTTAATAGCTTACCTAATCGCTAAGTGACTCTCTGCATCTGTATCAGCTCTGCCTTCAGCAAAGCCTCTTTGAACTTGCAGCCTCTTCAGATATTTTGTAGTCATTCTTAACATATGAATATATGTGCATATTTAATGTGTGAAGTGTGATCTTACAGTTAATATTAGTAATTAAAATGGGAATTAAAGAGGCTGTGATTGCCAACAGGCTAGCAACTGAAATCACAATTACTTGGTAAATTGCAGCCAAGGAAACATATAGTTTTTATTTTATCATTATTCATTAAATCCTGACATTGTGGAATGACAGAAGCATGTGTGTTTCTGACATAATACACTCCTAATACCATGTTATGGTTCTGGTTTATGTCTCTGAAGGCCTGCAGAGATGGATGAGTGGTTCTAAAGAACCTTCTGGCTTGTTTTGGTTTGTGTACAGGCAGCCTTTGGAAAGAAGTCCAATCAGAAAGGATCTGGTCCTTTGCCCAACAGCATAAGGTTCATAATGGGCCCTCGCCCACCTGGCCTCATTTGTCAGTTGTTCCTGCCTTGGAAGTCCATCCTACCAGCAT